GACAAGATGAGCGACAGTACAGACAGGGTGTCAGACGCCATGGCCACCTGCACTTACAGTCCTGAGAAAGGACTGGAGTGCAATCTTGCACCCCCGGAAAAGAAAGTAGAGGAAGAAAAGGAAACTGGGGTGAGAGGTCTAGCCCACTCAAGGGACACCATGGTAAGTGCACCCTACACCAGACACAAGAAGGCCTTGGTGGGCAAAGGAGGAGACAGGAGAAGCTGGGCATGAGCTGGGGTTAGAATAGAAGCCAAGGTGACCTTGGAATGCAAGCCAGCTGCTGCTGGTACTCCCCCTGGTTCTAAGAAAGGGACTGGATTAGATTTCCTATTGCTGTGCTGATACACCGTGACCAAAAGTGACTTGGGGAGAGAAAGGTTTCATAGTTCATCATCAAAGGAGGTCAGGACAGAAACTCAACAAGACAGGAACCTGGACGCAGAAGCTGATGGAGAGGCCATGGAGTGCTGCTCACTGGCTTGTTCCCCACGACACACTCGGCCTACTTCCTTATAAAACCCAGGATCACCAGCCCAGGGTGATGCCACTCACAATGGGGTGGACCTTCCCACACCAATCACTAATTAGGAAAAGTCCAACAGGCTTGTCTACAGCCTGATCTTATGGAGGCATTTTCTTAGCTGCGACTCCCTCCTCGTGGATGACTTTAGCTTGTGTCAAGTTGACATGTTCTTGGTAATTACATAACTGCAGTTGGCCCCGTGTCTCCGTGTTCAACTGACCCCAAGCTGACAATACTCAGAGAAGACTTTGCCACTGGATGGGCTTTACAGAGACATTTTACTTGTCATTATTCAAACAATTCAAGCTAACAAGTGCACGGGTTATGCCTTGCTCATATATAGTCATCTAAAGACGACTAAAGCGTGAAAGGGTGCAGAGGTGATGCTTAAATACAATGGCAGCTTTTGCAGATTTTCGAATTAATTCAATGTGCAAACGCATAGGGTGAAGTGTGGTAATTGGGGCATATGTGTGGTATAGCAGAATCAGGGTGATGCACATCTGTATCTCTAAGCATTTTTTATAAACACTGACAACTGTGTTTTGGGGGCTCATGGTGACGTTTAAGATGTGTACACATGGCACACACTTCCTGCCAGTCATTGACACCTCCGTCTCCTCACTGCCTTCACAGCTTCTGTGCTCTCTTCTCCGAGTCACTCATAAATTATCCTACTTATCAGTCATTTCATAAAGTGACGCTTGCAGCCATCCTCAAACGAGCATTTGCACTGTGCTCTATATACATGCCATCCCCACACACTTATTCTGCGCCTGCGTGTCTCCTGCACAGCCCACCCAGTGTCCGTGTCCATCCCTCCTGTTTGGCTCTGGTCACCTCTTGGTGCTTGTCCTGCAGGACTCCTGCAGCATCTGAGTGACGAGCCGTGAGTCTGTTGGCGTTTTCTTCCTCCTTATAAGCTGGCCTCCCATCTCCATATCTTGTTTCTAGGTCTTTCCTTTGGCAGCTTTGTTCTCAGCAGCTATGACAAGAAATCTTGTCAGCAGCAGTTCACAGAACCAAGTGCTTGAGTTTTGGAGCCTCAGGCTCAACCATGTGCATATTCTCCACCTGCCTTTTACTGCTGCCTGGCTCTTCTGTGGGCAACTTCCTGATTATTTATAGCCTGTATTTGAGGCACTGCTTCATGGTGAAAGAACTTCCAGGTGAGACGTTTTGAGAGGAAAGGACAAGCTAGGTGCACACGGAAAGGGAACGAGGGCCTTTTTGCCCAGCACTTCACTCTGGGCTCTGCCTCTGCTTGGAAGTGCGGGGATTTTCAGGCTCCAACACAGTCTGCTGGGCCCCAGTCCTTGACAAGACATCATCAGAGCTGTGCGTGCACCCACAATGCCTTCCACCTCACAAGGCACTCCACTTGCCCCAGAGATGGCAGTCAGCGTCCAAGCCCGGCTCCCATCTGAGGCACCTTGTTCGGTCTGGTCCTGGGAGGGCCTGAGCTCCAGCTGTAGCAAGAGGTTACGACTCGCAACCACCCAAAGTCTGCCTGGGTCACCTGCATTGGTGGCTCCTCTTTCAGCTGCATCCTTGAGAGGTGAGTGCATCCTTTCATCGTGGAAGATTGGGTCCTCATCACTGCACTACTGCTCCTGCTGTGACTTGTGTTTGTCCCTTAACTGATACACCAGGAGCCATACCTCTTTGCTTTTCAGGTCACCCAGTTTTCAGTGTCAAGTTATTTTTAAACATGTGTAATTGAAATGTAGTATGACCCAGGAAAGCACACATGTCTCACTCCATAGCCTGACAGATTTTGGCAAACAGAGTATGTTCATGAAACCAACATGTTGATTGAGACACAGACCCTTGCCAGCAGCCCCACGAGGCCCCTCCATCTGTTCCATCAGGAGCCCTTTAGATGGAAGATGCTTCATAAATTCCTGCATGATGGCATTTGTGCTCACTGTTGAATAGCGGAGAGCTCCGGAGCCAGTGCATGGGTGTGCGTCACAGCACAACAGCAAGCCCAAGGTGGGAGGAACCGGTTACGTGTCCCACTGTTGTGGTAAAATGCCTGGCAGAAGCCATTTAAGGAAGGGTGGCTTGAGGAAGAGCCCATCATGGAGTGAGGAGCACGGCAGCAGGAGCTTGAGGAAGGAAGCTGATCGCATTGCTTCTACAGCCGGGAAGCAGAGAGCAATGGACGATAAAGCTGGCTTTCTCATTTTGATTCAGTCCAGGACCCAGCCCGTGGGATGGCAGCATCCGCATCCTGAGAAGGGCTTCTCAGTTAAACATCTCTAGAAATTCCCTCAAACACATGCTCAGAGCTGTGTCTGCTTGGGAAGTCCAAACACAGGCAGGGAGGATTAATCATTACACAGTTTAGGAGACCTACGGAGTTCAGAAATGGCGCCCAAATGGATCTGGGAGCTTGCTCTGTCATCCAAAGCGTCCGCTGCAGTGGAACAGATCGTGGGCTATCGGCTTCTTAATGCAATTCAGAACACTCTGTATGTAAAATGGTTTACAATCAGGGCCCAGGCTTTTCCACAAAAGTGGGTCAGATTTCCCCTACCCAGCCCGTGAGTAGTGAGCCATAAACACACACAGTACATTATGTTTCATCAGTGGTATTAAAATAAACAGAACCAAGGCCTCAGTATGACACTGCTCTCCTTCAGAATGCCTGCTGCTGCAGTGTGAATTCTTGGTGACCCCCTCCCAGAAGCCCACAGGATAGTCGACAACCTTTGGCATGACTAGGAGGTGATGAGACCTCCAAGACGAGAAGCCTGGAGGAGGCAAGTTAGGCTACTGGGTCATGCCATGCTCAGCACAGGACCCCAGTCCCCCCACCCCTTTCTGTTCCTTGGCTGCTGTGAAGTGAACATCTCCTCTGTCACTTGTTTCCTCTCCCGACACCATGGACTGGAACCCCTGGGACCGTGAGCCAGATAGACCTCCATCTTTATAAGTTGACTATCTCAATGTGTTATCACAATGACCGGAAGTCAAGGAACACATCCACTACCAACCAGAAGACTTCTGTACAAATCAGAGGCTGTCTGTGTTGCGGGTGTAGAAAAAAAAAATCTACCTTAGAGACTAACAAAAGCAGTGCCCAGAGGCAGGAAAGGTACCTGGGGTGTGGGCAGGCAAAGGGACAGAGCACACACTGGGTCATCTTAGAACCTCTAAAGCATTTGCCGTCTGCGCACATGTTGCTGTCTGTGGAAAACAGAGATTTAAATGAAGAAGTGTTTAGGGATAATGGGTAGATGGTGGGTGGGCAGAAGGACAAAGGGCTGAGTGAGTGGATGCATGAGTCTCCACCCATCTGTCCATCCATCTGTCTGTCCATCTATCCATCCATCCATCCGTCCATCCATCCATCCGTCTATCCATCCAGATGCACATTCACCCACCTGTCCATCTGTCCACTGTAGACTCTACACAGTTTTTTGTGCAATTTGAAAGTCAGGTAAGATATTGGTGAGAACACGCATGGCCAGGCCGTTCAGTGTGGCTGAGGTTGTGTAAGACCCGGTCAGCCCTTGCATTTCCTGAAACATGACGCAGCACTATGTGCTTGGAAGCTTCCAGACTCTTCCAGTGCTTCTGGACAAAGACTGTGGTGGCCTTGTTACCCTGCTATGATGCTGAAACCGGACTAACACCTCCTTTCAGGCTGCATCGGGATGCCCTATTCTAACTTCCTTCCACCCTCCCCCTAATGTTATGCAAGAAACTGTGGGCCATTATTTTAAGAGAAATAAGCCAGACCCTATAAAAAGGACAAGGAACAGAGATCACTTCACTTGTGATGAAAATTCAAGCCCGTGCCTTCACCTCCCCGCACTGCCAGGGAACGTAGGGGCTATCCCTCCAAAACCACCTTGCTCCAGCTATTCAGGGCTGCTCCAGGGGAAGCCACAGGAGGGCATGATTTTGAAAGATCTCCCAGGAAAGAAGGGAAAGACAGGGAGAAAGAAAGGCAGGGAAACCTGGGAGGTGAGGTGGATGAAGCAGCTGCCATGGAGCCCCATCTAGAGGGTGGCCAGTCAGAGGGCTGCAAATTACCCTGTCCTGGCTACCCTCTCAGTGTCATGCCCGGCAACCTGGTGGGTGAAAGCATCAGCAAGAATGGGGGTGGGGCATAAACAGGATGCACAGGCTGCCAGTCAAATGCAGATGATTCCCATGATGGCTTACGAGGGAACTCTGGGGCAAGACAGGATCTGTGAAGATGGGAAAGACTGCAACACATTCAGTCCTGACTGAAGAAAGAGAGACAGAGACAGATAAATGGAGGGAGGGAGGGACAAAGGAATGGAGGGAGGGAGAGCAGGCAGAGGCCATGCCCACAAGAGACAAAACAATTCATGGTACGAAGTCAGGGGGATGGGCAATGCTGGGGCCCAGAAGCCAGGAGAGATGAGAAGAAGAGACAAGCATCTAAAAATGCTGGCCAAGAGTGACCTTCCCATGCAAACAAACATTTGCTCACCTGGACAGATAGGGCAGTGACAAACACAAAGAGACCACGCCCCTCAAGGGCAGCTTGATGAGCCAATGTGTCTAACAGGGGCTACTTACAGGACCAGGAATGCAGGCAACTAACTCATGAGCAGCTACATCACCGAAGAAAAGCTCTCTCTCCCAGCAACTGTTAACTGCAGGACAATTCTAAGGGGGCGGGGCCTCTTAGGCCCCTCCCCTAGTAACTGTTAACTGTCTATAAATCCTTGGGGGGGGAAGGCCCCATGAGCCCTCACTCCTCTCCATAAGTGGACATTAATGGGCCCAATCTCTACATATGATCACAGCTGTTTAGAATTTAAGAGGTCAACACTGCCATCCTCAGCAGACATGGCCTTCCAGCCATCAGAATTGAGCCAAGAGTCCCGTTTGTTACTAATGACCCATTCTTGGGCACATACCAGACTTGGAAGATTTTGTTACCTGACCCACAGACCGTGTATGGGGCCTTGAGCAGGGCCCTGAATATGACTCTGACTCCAGAGTATGGTAAGATTGTCACTGAGTCAGCTAACGTGAAGTTGGAACCTCAGCTTCCAGGGGCCTCGTTCTCAGCAGAACCCAGGTTCTGTGCAGGGAGGGCTCTGCCCCAGACAGGTACAGGACTTCTGCGGAGGCCTGTGGCCTTGTGACGCTGCAGTTCATGACCTGGACAATGTTCAAACAGCATCACAAACACAGTTCATTTCTTCTTATTTTAGATTCCTGAGAATTAGAGGGAAATGGATCCCAAAAGCCCCTGAGTCCCCTGTCAGGAGAGACCCCAACTGGAAAATTTTTTTCCCTTTTCCACCTATAGTAGTAACACACAGACATGAGTCTGTTAAGGCCTGCCCCACACCTTCATGAGGAAATAGTTTCTTATCTTGGGCGTGTACTTGCTTATGTTACTATGACAAACTACCCGAGGCTGGGTAGCTAATGAAGGAAAAATGCTCCTTTGGCTCCTAAGTCCAGTGACCAGAGGGCCCCAATAACACAGTTGCAGGGTCCTGGAGAAGGTCCCCATAACTTTATTACAATAAGGAAGAGAAGTGAGAAGGGACCTGGGCACATGCAGGAGGGGAAATACATGAAAGGTATAGGGTGGCCTTGTTTTGTAACAACCCAGGTTCATGAAAAACACTGACAGACCCAGCCACTCAGTGAGACCAACTCAACTCACTGTGTCTGCTTACAGGTCCCACTGGCTCTCAGAACTACCTCACAGGCCGTCGGGCTTCTAGAACATGGAAGACAAGCATAGCAACCAGTTTCACTGGGGTGCCCTGCACTCCGCCATGCTCCCTCCCCTGCCATGTTTCTCCAACCAACAACAAGTACACTAACATCCCCCAGCCTAAAACTTTAGCTCCTTTATACCTGCAAATGGTGCAGCCTTCACCTTTCATCAAGGAAACCTCTCTGCAACAGACAGAGACCGGCACAGAAAACCACAGCCAATCGAAAGGCAGAAAACCACAGCCAATTGAAATGTAGAAAACCACAGCCAATCGAAAGGCAGAGTAATGAAGCCTAGTCCCAATGGATACATCTACAACATAACTACAGCACGAATAATAAAAACCTAGAGACAGATATTGAGGTTTAAGTTGAAGATCAGAAAAGCAAAACAGTCAGCCACTAGAGAAGTCTTACCTCTACCAGGGCTGGGTGATTGCAAACTGAGCCGACTAAGCGGACTAAGCAGTCTACACAGACTAAGCAGTTCTCTTCCCCCATTTTATATTCCCTCTAGTGCTGGGATTAAAGCTGTGTGACTCCCTAGTGCTGGGATTATCGGGCTCTTGGATGCCTGGCAGCAGACTCTGCAGTTCCAGATTCTGTGGTTCTGAGCTCCATGGTACCAGGTTCTGGAAACAAGGCCCTGTGGTAATAGGCTGTGTGCTAGCTCTGCAATACCAGGCTCTTGCACTTAACCCTCTCAGTACCAGGCTCTGTGGTAACAAGGTCTGTTTTAACAGATGCTGGGATCCAGGATCTGAGGTACCAGGGTCTGCAATACCAGGCTGTACGTACCTAGCGCTATATGGTATTATACTCTACTATATCCTGCTCTGTGGTACCTGGGCATCAGATAAGAGGCACCAGGCTCTTGTATTGATCTCTGTGATATCTGGCTCTTTGTCATAGGCTTTGGGGTATCAGACTCTGTGGTACCAGGTTCTGAGGTGTCAGAGTAGATTATCAAACTCTACACTACCGTACTCCTGGGCATCAGATCCTGTGCCCTGTAGTACACCATACCAGGCTCTGGAATACCAGTCTTGTGGTATAAGGTCTAGGGTACTGTGTACTGGTAGATCAGTCTTTTGTACAATGCTCTGGGGTTCAGAGGCACCAGGCTATAGAGCATCAGGCTTTGGGGTACACACCTCTGGGGTATGCAACTCTGGTGTAGCCACCTTTAAATATGAGCCTTTAATAGCAAGCAGTTCAGTACCAGCTCTGGGATACAATACTGTAGAGCAACAGGCTGCGGGGTACTGGGCTCTGTGGCACATGACTGCAGACGACCAGGCCTGGAGAACTGGGTCTGAGGGTCAGTGCTAGGAACCTCCAGTCAAACTTCTGTAAACACTTGCTCTGAAGAGCCTCAAGTTCAGTAGAATTGCCCCTTAAATGTCATTCTGATGCTGGACTCCCTGGGAATGGGGGAAACTGAAGCTCCCCATTCAGTTCGACAGCCTGAGCTTCCTGTATCACCTGGGATCACGGGCCAGGAAAGGTAACTGTGGGGTTCGGCTGAAGGGAACCCAAAGCCAAGGGCAGCTTGCGGATCAACCCTATCCCCTACTGAGAGATCAACCCCACCCCATCTGAGAGATCAGGGCCAAAGGTAAAGGAAGAGGGGGCTTCCAGAGTTGTTCATCTAGAGCTCTGTGTTCATCCTGGTGGAGCCTGGCTCTCAGGGCACGGGGAAAGAAGTGTCCCTTGCTATCGCTATAACACAATACCCAAGACTGTAAGGCAGAGGCCCTCAACCTTGCCAGCGTGGTGACATTTTAATAGAGTCCCTCGTGCTGTGGTGATTCTGACTGTAAGATTATTTTCACTGCTACTTCATAACTGTAATTTTACTACTGTTATGACTGGTGATGTTAATATCTGGGGGGACAGAGGTTTGTCAGAGGGGTCACTAACCACAGGTTGATGTATGAACAACAGGAAATCATTACCATTCCTCATGCATCTGGAAACAGGAAGATTCGGGCACCGGCAGGCTCCAAGTTGGGCACATCTCCCTCTGCTTCCATGAGGTGCCTGGAACACTGTTCTCACTGGACAGGAGGCTGGAGGGAAAGCAGAGACGAGAGCAAAAACAAGCCGCTTCTTTTATAAGGGCCTCAATCCCCTACACTCGGGCTCTGCCTTTCAACCTAGCCACTAAAGGCTGTGTTTCTTTATTCTAATACTTGGGCCAGTACATCTCACTGTATGAATCTGGGGAAATGTCTGGACTGTAGCTCAGAAGGAATGTTCCAACTGGTCCTGCTCCTTTGTAGGCTGATCCTCGCCAGCGTATGTATCCAGAAAAGTCCCCGATGCAGCTGGGTGCTGAGTGCAAGTTCAGAGGTAGATGATGTGATGGAGCCATGGTTGATACCACGATGAGGAGTAGCTCGGGCTCCCAAGAGCCAAGGTTGTGGGCTGTCCTGAGATGCAGGGGGAAAGCTGGAATCAGGGCTGCAGGAGGGTCCCAACAGGATGGATGGAGGATGCCTCTCCTGTATGTGGTTTCCACCCTTCCTGCATACGTCTTGCTATGCCTCCCTCCAAGCCATACTTGGGATGTGACCCTGCCTCCTGCTTTCTGTAGGAAAGATGTTTTCCCTCTGTGATGCTACCTACTGGCAACCCACCTATCTTAGGTGCTCAGATAGCTCAAACCAAAAAAAGTCTAGGCAAATACCAGTCTCCCTACCCCATCACTTCCCTCTCCAGTCATCTGCATCCCTCCAACGCAGGCTAAAATGACAGCTATTTATTTATTGAGACCAGTGTCTAAGGGATCCCGGGGTTCGGAGGTCTATGGCTGCTGTCCTAACCTGGCACAGCTAGACCCCAACTTCCCTTCTGCACAGGACACTGTCATAGCCAGAAAGTATGGATGGCTCTGGTTTGCAATGTCATGCCAAAGAGGGAGGCACAGGAATGGAGTGGGGCATGGTGCCAGCACCGTTGCTTCTAATTTAAAGCCTTATTTCTTATTCTATTTTGAGCTTCCCTCTGGATTTTAGGAATGTTGAGGCAAGCCTGGAGTAAAGCCTGGAGTACAGAATGGTCCCCAGGGCTGTAAGCGGGCAGTCTAAGGAGAGCAAATGGCTGTCCCAGGGAGCCAGCCTTGGGCCTTTGAACAGAAGCTCCCAGTGGTGAGGGTGGCTCCCGGTGACCTGCGCTGATTGGATGAAGGCTACAGAGAGCACCTTGGAGGCTTCCCAGCAGCCCTGGAAAGGCAGAGCCTAGTAAGCCTTTTAATAAGGTTAGGGTGACAGTAAGCACAGCAAGAAACAAAACGCATTCAGCACCGTGCGAGCACCGAACGACACGGGGTGGTCTCTCTGGGGGGACACGGTGACTTAGAATGCAGGTGCAGGAGTGATGAAGGGCCCCTTCCTGCTAGAGAAAGAGGGGAGAGGAGCCAAAAGGGCTGGTGTGGAGAAAGGGATGGCTTCAACATGGCTGGCGGAAGTCGAGGTTCATGTGATCTTGAGCAGAGCGCGCCAGGCAGCACCTTTGTACTCTGTCAGTTCACCGCTCCAGCAAGTTCCACCGTGGCAGCCTGACCTTGGGCACGTGTCTTCCAACGGATTTTCCACACATGTAAAGATACTTTGCATGGTCTTTCTAAAATTCCCCAGGAGGCTCTAAAGTGTGTTTCTGCATTCTTTCTCTAGTCTTAGCTGTGGAGGGCGCGTTTCAAATTCCAGATTTCAGGGTTTGTGAGTTTAACTACCCCCACAGGAGGAAATCATCAAAGCAAAGTGGAATTGAACACCAACAACGTGTGAGTGTGCGTACACACATGTGAAAATCATTTTGCGTTTTCTTGGATTA